TTGGTATCAGACGCTAGAAGAGACTGGGGGTTAGAAGCTTGGGAGGAAATGCAGGATCAGTACCCAGAGCTGAACAGGGATGACATGTGCAGTGTTCAGGCAGGCAATGGGCTGACACTGGAGACCATAAGCAGATTTTGATCATGGTCTGTTTGATGCTACAAAGAGATCATCTCTGGGCCAGGGATTTAACTCAGCAGCATAAACACCTGCATGGCAAGTGCTAGGTCAGGAGTTCAATCTCCGATCCTTGGTACCAGAAAAAAAAAAAAAAAAAGAAAAGAAAAGAAAAGAAAAGAAAAAAAAGATCATCTCCACTTCTAGGTAAAAAGTAGACCATAATGGTGAACTGAGGAAACAAGGTTGCTGCCTGGGTAATTTCGATGAGACGAGAAGCTTGAACCAGTGTTATAGGGGCAGGAGAAGAGAAATAGAATTTGACAGGGTGGGAGTGAGGTGGGCAGGACTTGCTGATGGACAGGCCATAGGGATAAAGGTAAGGAAGAAATTGGGGTTATGCAGGTTCTGGGAATACTAGCAGTACTCCAGTAGGTGAACAAAGTGACACTGAGCAAGGCCAGCCCTTTCTAAGCAAACCTCAGCAGCCATAAAACCACTTCTAAATGGCCAGGAAGGAAGAATTAGGCAGAAAAGGGGGTGTCACTACCAGGACTGCTCATAGCCATTACAGATGGTGATCTTGCCTCAGAGTAGAAGAACAGAAACAAAAAGGATCAGAAGAACAGGACATGGAATTATGGAAGTGACAAGGTTTTACAGGTCCTTCCTTTCTATCACCTTGCAACTTGCCCAAGGTCCCCAAGATCCCCTCACCCCCCTACACACACACGGGCCAGGGCTCCAGCACTAGCTTTTATTCTTTCCAAGAGTCGAGGTCAAGAGAGGGAACTGAGAATGTAATATCTAGTACTCCACGAAGATGAGATTATTCACTTTTAAAATTTACATCTGTTTGGGCCAAACTTTCAGAATTTTATTGATTAAAAGTTAAACCACTATCAAGTGGTTCACAAAAGGGTTAGCAAGCCATGCTCCGGGCCAAATTTATACAGCCTAGAGCCACAGATGATTTTTGTTGTTGTTGCTGTTTTATTTTTTTAATTTTTTTTTTTTTGTAGTACTAGGGATCAAACTCAGGAACTCCCTACCATTGAGCAATATTCCCCATCCCTTTTTAAATTTTATTTTGAGATAGGGGTCTTGACAAGACTGTCCTCAAACAGCCTTGTCAACCTCCTGAGTAGATGTTTCATATTGGTTGAAAAAAAAATCAAAAGAGTATGTCATGACTTGTAAACATTTTATGATATTCACAGTCCAGTGTCTACAGATGAACTATCAATGGAACAGTCATGCCCTAGAATGTATGAACCAGTACTGCATGGTGTGACAGATACACGGAGGTCCTATAAATATCACTTGGCCAGCTATGGAGTTTGCTGACCCTGGTCCATGGCATTTCTGGTTCCCTGCTGTCAGCTTCTCCCCACAAAGTCCTGTAGGTGCCCACTGCCCACCTCACTGAGCCCTATCCCTATCCTGTGCCCATCACAGCCATCAGGGCTCCAGCAGTCAGGGTTCAGGCCAGGCTTCTGCCTCTGGCCATGCCCCATCCATCTCCACTTGACCACTTCCAGATCATTCTCAGTAAACCCTAGGAAAACCCAGCCAGAAAAGAGAAAAGCTTGAGATGAGAAAACTCTTGTGGTCTGGAGTCTCTGGTCATGTGCCCAGGTTTTTAGACACCGGAACTCGGATTCTGGGGTCTTCCTTGAATTTGGAACCCGGACAGAAGTTGCTGGGCTGTGGTGGATGCTCTTCTTAGAGAATTCATTAGGATGGGGTAAAAGTTGTGATTATCTGGCCGCCCTCCTCAAAGTCACCACTGCCTTGCCCACCCGCGGGTCCTCCTGCCACCCTCGAGCTCCACCTCCACCCCTGCGTCAGCAGGCTGCCAGACTCTTGTGAGCTCAGCCTAGACCTCAAAGCGCAGTGTTGCTCCTGTGGCAGGAGACCCTTCTGCTCCGGTAGAGGAGGGATGTTTTCCTCTGAGTTTGTCAGGAAGGTCTGAACCCCGAGAAGGTCAGGTGGGGAGGTGTGCCTGACCAGACTCCCTCCTGCTGAGGACAAGCCCAGAGTTGGGTTTCAGACCCCTCACACTCCTGGCTCTGGTCCAGCAGGCATCTCCCCTCCCTTCGCTCCTCGCCTTCCACCCAGTTCTCAATGGGGGAGCTTTGTTTCCTGGCACAGCTGGGTGGCCAGTCTGACCTCCCACACGGTGCGTGGGGGTGCTGAGTTATTAGGAAGGGGGGTCTTGCCTCGCCAAGGCTCAGGCTACTGGTCAGTGGACAGTGTCTGCTTCCCTTGCAGTCTCCCAACCAGGCTTTGGGGAGGGGTTCAGGGCCAACTAGGGGCTCCTGGTCGAGAGACCAGGGCTAAATCGCTTTGTCTGGGACAAAGAGCTCCAGGCGCCTAAGCGGCGTGTCCAAGGGGCGAGCGGCCCCAGGGCTGCCTGTGAGGGGAAGGTACGGCAGCCGGCGTCCCGAGGCTCGGCGGTCAACAAAGGCCGCGCCTGCCCGCCGCCCCGAAACGGAGCTCCAGACTGGCCAGAAGAGGCACCTGGGCTTCAGGAGGGAGGCGCTCGCGGCTGCGGGCCCTCCCCGAGAGCAGCGGAGACTGACTCCCGGGCCTGCAGGCCGCTGCGCCTGGGTCCCAGGGCGGCCTCACGGGCACGTTCCTCGCTGGCAGCGCGAATGAACTGAGGGAAGGGCCAGCGCCGGGACCCGGTTTGCGCGGGGATGCGACACACAGGCAGGGCCGGGGGGTCCGCCTGGCGTGAAGGCCACTCCGGGCGGTGGGCAGGGGGGGTGAGCTCACCGTGATCCGGGGGATGCTCTTCTTGCCCTGAAAGGACATTCTGCTTAGCGGGCAGGTCCAGGGACCAGCAGGGGAGGCGCGGGAGCGGGCGAGCGGGCGGGGACACGCGTTGAGCCCGGCGTGCGTGGGGCGAGAAGCACCAGAGTGCCAGCGAGCCGGTGTAGGACTCCCGGCCCCGCCCCCGCTCGTTTGCCTCCAGACCCCGCCCCCGTCGCTTATTTGAATTCAGACCACGCCCCACCGCCTCTTATTTGCATTCGGTCTCCGCCCACCGTCGCTTATTTGCATCCAGGCCCCGCCCCATGCCTGCTCCTTCCAACCTCCCCCGGCGGAGGCTAGACTGCTTCTGGCACCCCTGCCTGAGCGTGGGGAGTGGGAGGAATGCGATCCGTCTCTGAAGACGTCTGAGGAGTTTGGATTCCGCAAAGGACAGCGGTCAGACAACGGCCTGCCGGGGCCCCCCGCCCCCTCCTCAGTGATGAGCCGAAGCTCCCAGGGCCTGGAGCAGGAACTACTCTACTGTATTCTTGCTCCCTGGTTCCGCGGTGTGGAAACCGCCTCCGTTAAGGAAGTTGCCCCTGGCCAAACCAGGCTCCTCTGGGACGCCGGGCGGGAGCACGAGCGCTGGGCAGCGTCCTGAGAGCTGCACCAGGCTGGCCACTCCCGCGGGACTGCTCCGCAGTTCACTGCTCAAAGCTAGCAGCAGGAGGGAGAGGACACGGAGGAGGGACCAGGCAAAACTAGAAGGGGCAGCGAGACCGACACACAGACGGACTGAGATGGCTTAGGGACTGCCAGCCGGGTTCAGGAGCGGGGCGCAGGGCGGGGAGATGTCCCGGGAACGCGCCGCAGGCGGACGGCTCCGGCCTGAGTGGGTGGCGTTCTCGAAGTGAGCAGCCTCACCTGCGGAGACCCGCGGGCCGGGGCCACGCTGGGTTGCTCTCGGCCGCTGGCCAAGACCTCCGGCCGGTCTTCAAGTATCTCCGAGAGGCCGCGCGGCCCGCAGTAGGGCTCGCCCCCGCTTGGGTCTCGGGGGCCGCCGCTCAATGCGTCCAGCGGCAGTGTCTTGTTCTCGAAGGCATCATCCACGCAGTGGAAGACACCACCGAGCTTCGGCCAGGCCAGAGGCTTCGCGGGACCATGCGGCCGCGGTGCAGTCATGGCGGGAATCAGCGACCCGCATCTGCGTGTTCCGAGACCCCTGCAGGTCTGCACTTGAGGCCAAGACCCGGCCCTCCTGGCCTCGCCCTCTCCTAGCCCCTCCCCCAGGCCCCTTGCGTGGCCCAGTGGTGCTGGCGCTGTTCACACTGCAGGTGCTGAAAGAACTGCTAGTCTGGCCCCAAGAGCACAGCTGCTCAGTGAAGCACAGACGCTCACCCTCGGGGCACGCGTGGGCTCCGACTCCATCCACGTGCTGGAGAAGCTGCAGTCTGTGAGGACTCCATCACTCTCCCGGTGTGGGAGAATCCCCACCTGGCAAGGAGGCCCTGATTGAATCATCAGTAAGAGCGGGTGGAGGGGGCCAGCAAGCGCGCGCAGTTCTAACCCTGCTGAATGTAGAGATGAAAGACTTGGGGTGAGACAAGACGCAGGGAGTTTCAGCTGTCCAGAGATCACAGGGCTGGGGCTGTACTGCCCTACTGGAGACAAATGCAGCGACTGATTTTGAAAGAAAAGACCCCAGCCTTTGTGTTTTCGGTGCAGTCGGGCATTTCAGAGCCCGAGTTCAGAAAAATGAGTCATTGGGACACTCACCAATGGACTCTGACAACTCTTCTTACTCATGTGTAAAAATCATCCTTGTCTAAGTTATTTGCATTCTTTCTCTGTCGGTTCACATTTGGCAGACAGGAGAGAGCTTTCCAGTTGGCCAGCCTCAACCAGGTGCTGTCAAGGACCTGATGCAGAGGTCTCCTCTAGGTGATTTTAGATGATCAGCGAGGGGGCTGCAGGTGAGCCCCCTCCCCTACCCCAGTGGGCAGCAGGTCCAGATTCCACTTCTGTCACAGAAAGAAGCATTGTTGTTCATAGAATGAACACAAAAATGCAGCAATGGCTGTATAGCCCCTAAGTTCTAATCTTAATAATATCCATGTGTGTGCTTTGATCTAAGATTTTAAAACAATTTTTATTAAAACTGTACAATAATTTACAAATAAGTAAAAATTCTCTGGTATATTGTAGGAATCACAATACAAAAATATGTGTAAAATTTTGTAGTGGGTCACCATACAAACCTAGTTTAGGCTTGTGAATACTGTTTAGCAGTGAACAGAATGTCACATGTTTAGAATGTTGTAATTAAGGAATTGCCTCAGAGAACACAAATACTGCCTGGCATATTGCCATAAGAAAACAAATCCTGTTAAGTTTTGCATAAATTGACAATAAAGCTTTTAAAAATATACAGTAAACAAATATATGCTTAGATACACATATTCACAATACGATTTTCCTGAGCCTAAACTTAAACCCATTACTTCGTAAAAACACACCATCTTAAGGTTTCAGTGATGGAGTGATGGCAAGTGCTGATGAGCTGTCAATGCCTGAAAGCCATTGTCACACCACCGCCTCCTGACTCCCAGTTAGTGTTCATAAGCCACGTAAGGCACTCAGGTTTCCTGAAGGCTACAGATTCTGCCAGGGCAGAGACCTTAAGTCACAACCATAGGCCTTCAATAAATGGAACTTAACCATGGAGACAAGGTAAACACCACATGGGTGTCCACAAAGGAATCTGTATTTTACATGGATTTCTAGCTTACACAAACTAAAACATTGCTCTGTCATTGTGCACACAGTGCGACCATGCCGTATGGATATGATATGGATGCTTATGTCTCGGGTACACAGTAAGTGTCCTTGACCACACTTCAGCATCCCTTTTTTTGTTTCCTCAGGGCGGTGCCTTTAAATCAGATTTCCCAGTATGAAGAGCTAGCAGTAAGAGCAAATGCTCAAGGAAATTTAGCCAGCTGTTGTTTGAATGAAAAAGAAGGTACATTCTGGGATTTAGAAAATGCACCTTATTTTTAAAACATATGAACTCTTCAGATGCTTACTGGTCAGCAAGAATGAGTGATAAAGGCTAATATTTGCTTTTCTTCTTCTTTTTTTTTTTTGGTCAAAACCCAGTTCTGATTTTGCAATCAGGTGAGAAGAAGGTGCTCTGACATATGAATGAAAACAATGATACCTAAGGCAAGGAATGGCATTCCAACTCAAAGTGTGCTTTCAGGAAGGTGGCAGGGATACAAATGCAGTTTGGTTCACAGGATATTATTTAAAACATTCATAGAGCCATTTTCCTTTCCTATGTACAGACTTTTTACATATAAACAATAACTTCGTAAGCATTGGTACATATTTACATGCTTTTCTTTCCTGTACAGTTTGTGTTTTTTTTTTTTTTTAATTACAGAACTGTGACTCAGAGTGTCTGGGGTGGATGGGATGGTATATGAAGTACTCCAGGCACACCAACATGTACAGTCATGATAACCCAACTAAACCAGAGGGATGTGAATTTGGGTGAGTCTCAAAAGCACATCTTTAGATCTGAATTGGTGACTTTTCTCTTGCAGGCTTATGCTGGAGCCCAGCCAGGAGCTTTCCCCAGGGGACGCAGGCTGGCAGGGGACCACGTGGAGTTTCAGCATGTTTCTTGGATGTCTGCATTGCAGAGTCCATCGGACCTTAACCCTATTGTACATCCATAGCTCCGTGGCAGCACTTATTAATGTAGGTTACTGTTTACCACTTAGTTATGAGTATGTTGCAAGAGGATGCAGCCATTAAAACCAGACAAAACTATGCACAGAGGAATACACAAGATTTCAGACTTGAGACAAACCTCAACATCGGGTTCAACTAGAGAGGCAGTAAACTGGGCCAGTGCCTTGTCCAAATGAATCACGGACTGTAGTTTAAATGACAGCAGAAAGGATAGGTCCTTCTTGGACAAGTGCAATTAATAGTACATTTCCCAGCAGAAATTCTGCACCCATTAAAGAAAAAGCATAGCTGTCTGATCCTATAAAGCATTCCCCAGATTTTGACCTAGGAAACCATGCCTGGTCCACTACATCTGCATCAGAGTGGAACATTTCTTCTGACACAAATATGAAATGAAGTTAATACTTCCAGACAACACAATCATTCCTCCCTCCTGCTACTGGTTTTTGTTTTTTAAATGCAATGCTGTAGGTTACACTCACACCTGGATGCATGTGGCACACCTAGTACATCAACTTTTAGGTGCCTCAAAAGGGCTCTTTTGTTTTTGGCTGTTCTCTGGTTGAGTTAGGACAATGCATGAACACATGTGCAGATGTACGTGCCTCTTCTAACTGCAGCACTGCGAGAACAACCTTAGACCACCAAAGATGTGATGAAGACAGAAGAACCTTTCAACTATGGAGTCAGGTTTCTCCAAGTTCCGGAAGACCTTCCTGGGTTGTGAACTGGATCATCCAGAAAAATGGAAATCACACTTAAAATTGCCTTCATTGATGCGCTGCTTTCTCTCTGAAAAAAAAAAAAAACAGTAGAAACAAATATTTCTTTACAGTGACATCTGAATCTTTCTTGAGGAATGTGTAGATCATGGCTGAAACTCAAAGTGGGGATCAAGAGAAATGCTGGGGTGAGGGGCAAGCTCTACTATACACAAAAGTGTGCCCATCCCAGGACACTGGCTTTGTGAACCCAGCACCAGCCAGGATGCCACATCTTGAGCCTCCAGTTGGAGAAACAAATGGCCCTCCAGGAGCACAAGTGCTTACAAAGGTGAGTCTGTGTTCCTCATAAGGCCGTCTGCAGAAGTGGCCTTGAATCTTCCTCAGTGTCCATGGCAGCTGTCCACATTCTGACCCGATTTTCATTTCTTCTCTTTACTAAAACTTGGGCCTCTGCTAGATCCTTATTTTTTTTCTTTTTACTTTTACATTTTAAAAAGTTTTTGGCAATTATTAAGGAGCTGCTAATGTTCCTTGTAAAAGGGGAGTTGGCCCTGACTGGACACAGAAGCAGGGCAGAGGAAAGGCAGGCAAGAGCCCTGGACAGTAGGAACTCCAGAGTTTCTAAGCTAGGAGAGGTTGAGGTTGTTTTTGTTTTGTTTTGTTCTTTGTTTTCTAACATAACTGCAAAATAGATGGTCTCATACAGAATGATAAACACGTAGGTTCCCCTCTGAACATGTACATTACAAAGCGAAAGTGTTGCAATTAAAATCACTCATTGTTCTCAGTGCCTTCAATTCATTTCTAAATAACTTGTCATCAGATCATCTATTTCTAGAATATTGAAGAGACTCTCCAATTCAGCCTTCTCATTTTGAAGAAATAAAAGCTGAAACCCCAAGAATAAAAATTATTTCCCAAAGTGACATGTCCAAGCTGATATCCCTCATCCTCCAACCCTACATCATTTTCTCTCTGAATTATATGAACAACTGTCCAGGATGTGAACTACGCATAGTAAATATGGGCCAGAAATTTTATCAAAAATAAAATTCAGTCCAGAGAAACACAGGCTGTGGTGATAGCTATGGAGGTAAAATGCAATTGGATGCCTGTGGTGCTTTGGTGTTTCACTAACACTGCAGGACTAGGGTCATTGGTTTGATGGTCGCTTCAGAGGATAATGGTACACATGTGACATCTAGGGGGATCTCCTTCTGAGGGTTGCAGCCATTGCTGATTCCCTATGGTCTTGTTTTGACAGTCCTATATCGTTTTCAATGTTTTGTTGGGTTGGGTTTTATTCTCTTTTGTTTTGATTATGTTAAATCTGATGGCAGGAGAAACTATTTCAAAGATAGCAAGATATATTATGGTAGCAATTTTGGATTTATTATTGGCTTGTTTTGAAATCCTTTATTGCATTCACTGTATTGTTTTTATTGTTTCTATTCTATTCTATTGTTTGATTTTCACTATACCTGAAGTTATCTGCAGCTATTTTGAAGACATCAAAAGGCATTACAGTAACTATTGTTGATTTTGTAATGATTTTAGGCCTGTACCTCTTACACGGCTTTGTTTTGATTGATTTTATTGTTTAATCCTCTTTAAAATAAAATTTGAAAAAATAATATTCGGAACTCTAAAACATCACTATCCAAATTGAAAGGATGATATAAGCGCGGTTAGTGACCTGTGATCACTTGATTGCTCTCCTGAGCGAGTTGCTTCCTACTTTGGTAACATACTCCATTCACTGTTTCCTGGACCCACTGCCCTGGTGGCGTAGAGACTGAGAGGCCAACAACTATCCTGTGGCAGTGTGAAATGTTGTGACAAGTGTAAGCACCTGAGAGCTACAGCTCCACCTCTCTGGAGGGTTGGAGTCTGATGCAATTTTAGTATTGGTCTGTGGCATGGGTGGGCCATAAAGTACAGGAATAAACTGATAATCAAACTCACAAATTTAATTCATTTTATGGTACTAAAATGAGTAGAGTAGATACAAGAGGACCACAGGGTGTTGGGCTGCACCATGACCCAGTGCTGGCAATGGGGTTGCCCTACCAACAGGCTCTAGGACACCAGAATATCTCCAAAAGTTGTAGAAGCTGCACCCGTTGGTAATGCATGTGATGGAACTGTGCATATGGATTACAAAAACAGTATTCTGATTTATGTCAAAACAGAGCTGGAGGATCAGGGCCCTGCCGTCTGTGTTTGTGCTGGGAATTTCCATGGGATCTCAGCTGTTGGGAAACACCAGGCTGTTGGCAGAGAAGACAGGCACCTTCTTGGGGCCCAAAGAGCTCAACTTGGATCAGAATTAACTACAGATGGTAACACCTCCGAAGGCCTGGGCCACACAGCCTTATTTGAGGCTTCCAGGCATATGCCCATGATATCCAGAGATAGGGTCCCATTCAGGATGAGACCCTATATCCTGGAACTTCACTCTCTTTCCCCAAACACTGTGTCCCAGAACCCACCCCCAAATAACCCATACATGTATCTGCACTATCAGCTACGGGATGCTGGAGTATGGGCTAAAAACAGCAACTTTCTTACAAGCTCTGTTTGTCCAATAAACTTTAGCCCAACTACACAGAACAAATGACAAATCTGTTTGGAGCTAAGGTCTTTGCATCCCAAGCTCTGATTTTGGGGAAATATCAAACAGATGACCTTTCCAGGCAGAGCTTCCTGCTCATGGTTTTTTATGGAGTCTTTTCATCAGCCCTACAGTGCTTTCATCTACTCCCTGCCTGCCATAGTCACTTTTGAGGTCATTCTCTCCAAGTTCCCATGGAGGAGAGCCCCCATGACCCCTTCAGATGTTGGCCAGCCCTTCCACCCCAGGATGCAGTCACATCTGCATTTTGATCCTGCAGCTGCCTAGTAAGTAAACAATAAAGTGGTGGCCATTTTTATGGAGTAGATGGCAGATAAGAGTGAGGGTCTGGGACCCCTGAGTGCTGTGATGGTAAATTTTATCAATTTAACTGGACTATGGGGTGCCCAGGCATTTGGCCAGACATTCTGGGTGCTATTGAAGATGTTCCTGAGTGATTATCACATCAGAATCAGTCAACTGACTGACCCAAGCAGATGGCCCTCCCCAGTGAGGGTGGTCTTCTCCTGTCCACTGATAGAGCCTGAAGAGAACAGAGGCTGAGCAAGTGTGATCCCTGCCTGTCTGCTATGGATTGAGACATAGATCTTTCCTGAAATTTGGGATCAGACTGAAATGTTGGCTCTCCTAGTTCTACGGTGTGTTGACTACAGGTCTTAGGCTTTGTGAACCTCCATAATTGTGTGAGCCAGTTCCTCATAAACAATATCTCTCTTCCTCCCATATACACATGTGTGAATGTGCACGTGTGCACACGTGCACACACACACACATACACACACACACACATGTCTTCTTGGTACAGTTTTTCTAGAGAGCCCTCACTAACACAGATGTTACTTCACTGACCACCACATTTCAAGGAGGTGGCCCCTTTTTAGAGCAGGAGGCCAGGCAGCTCCATGTCATACCTCTTGTGGCCACATGGCTAAGACAGGGCAGAGGCAGGACCTGAGCACAGACCTATATGATTCCATGTTTTAAACCCTACTGCTAAGTTTTTCTGATGTCTAACAGACCAACAAGACTCATAAGTCTATCAGTCCCATGGACACTGTTGGGAGGGGGCCTGAGGGCTTAAAATTCAAAACTGCATCTGAATATAACTTCAAGAAAACTTGAGCAGGAAAGAAAGAGACATGTTAGCCAAGAGCAAAGTGGTCTTCTCACAAAACCCAAAACCCAGGAAGGAGGCTCCCCCATTAGAAAGCCCACAGTTCTCTGGGTAGGGTCCTAGGAACCCTGGGAACTGGAGGAAAGACATCTTTCTGGGAGCCAGGCAGGCAGCCTGAAGGGGCAGAGTGAATAAATGGGTCAGGATCCATCATCCAGACTCAGGAGACGTTACTCAAACCTCAGAGACCAGCCTGTGGGATCCAAGCCAGGAGCAGGGAGGTATGGGGTGTCAGTGAGAATACAGAGATAGGACAAAGAGTACAGGCTCATAAAGTATGGATATAAGCTGATAATCAAAGTCATGAATTTAACTCATTTTATAAAATGAGTAGGAACAAGACGCCAAGAGGGTGTCCTGCCGAACCATGACCCTGACATCTTAGATTCCTCCTGAGTGCCCTGGACCGTACCAGTCAGTCCAGAGATAGGGAGAAAGGTCAAGGTGAGGTTTGAAGTCTCCCTTTGTGACCAGATATGGCAGAACTCTGCGACTCAGTGATTCCATCCAAAGCTCTGTCCAAAGGGATCTGGCCCAGCTCCAGGGCTTCCAGCAACTCCAGCAGCAGCGTGGGTATCTCAGCCCCCTTGCCTGCCTGCCTGGGATGACAGCCTGTTGCTTGTCAGTGGCCTCTGACCTCCCTGTAGCACTTCCTAAAAGGGCTGACAATTGTAATAGTGGATCCCTCCAGCTCAGAAGTGTCTCTGAAGCATTTGAGAGCCTCTCCTCTGAAATGGAATCCTTGGTGGGGGAGGTCTTCCTGTCTCCACTAGGCTCCATCTCAACTTTGATGCCTGCCAGCTGGCAGATACAGCTGCCTGATCCTTCTGCCCTGACCAGCCAGTTATCACGCTTTTGCAACTTTTCACTTCTCTGGCTTTGCTAAGTGCCACCCCCACTACGTCATCCTCCCTTTGAAATGCCCAAATTGCCCCTGCAGGACTCAGAAAAGACCTCAGACCTTTTTCTACTGTCAGTACTGAGAATAAAACTCATTTTCCATGTCCAGCTGTGCTATCTTTGACAAACTCTGCTAAGAGGGCAGATTAGCTGGAGGCAAGGTTGGAACCGACTGGAATGTGGGTAGGCTGGGAAGGCTAAGGGAAGCCTTGCAGGGATGTGGAGATAATTATTGAAGAAAAGCTTCCCAAACCCCTTGAGAGCTTAAAATTCCAAACTACATCAAATATAGCATCAATAAAATTTAAACAGAAAAAAATAGGCCATTTTAGCCAAGATGAAAATGATCTTTTCACAA